CAGTGTTCATGATTCAGTAATAAGAAAGAGACTGGGGAAGAACCATCTGACATAAAAATAACACAGCATTTCATAAAAAGAAGATCCCACCAACAGTCAGACACGGTAGAAGTGTGATCGTCAGTCTCCTGCTTCGTGACCTGGAAGGTCCTGGAAGGTCACGAAGCAGCATTCATGATTCCTTCAATTACCTTGCTGTAATTGAAGGAATCATGAATTTTGCTGCCAGAAAATCCTGCAGGAGACTGTCATCAGTTTGCGCCTGGAGGTTCAGGCCCACTTGGATTATGCAGCTGGACAATGATCCGAAACACATCTGCAAGTCCAGCTCCGAAAGCCTCAAAGAATTCCCAAAAAACAAAACAGAGATTTCAGAGAGACCTGGTCAAAATCTGACTGTCAAAGAATGACCTTAAACAAGCTGTTGATGCTTGAAAACTCTTCAATGAGGGTGAATGAAAGCAATTCTGCAAAGAAAAGTGGGGCAAAATTGCTCCACAGTGATGTGAAGGACTCCTCGCCAGTTATCGCAAAAGCTTGATTGGCGTTCTTGATGCCAAGGGTGGTGCAATCAGGCTCAGGGGGCAACTGCTTTTTCACACAGGGCCAGGTAGGTTTGGAGCCTTTTGTCTGCCTGCATTTTATATTAACTTGGGTTATCTTTATTTAATACTACAATTATCTTTCATGAGCTGAAACATTTCAGTGTGACAAATATGAAATAAAGTAAGAAATCAGGAGGGAAGGCAAATCTTTTTTTCACTGCACTGGACCGTCAATGTTTTGATCTGGGGCTATATAAAAATGAATCAAAATTACTAGTTTTTTTAATGAATGGATACATTTGACCAATTAATCATGTCATAACTTGGAAGATGGTATATTTTGCTGATCGAGACACAAGTAAAGAATATGGGATTACTCGAAAATAGTTTTTCTGTTCTTCTACTGAAGGTATTTTGTGCTAAGGTGTGTGTATATGTCGCTAAAAAGTAACTGGTCATTAAGTTGTTGTTGCCATGGTTACTTGGAGCCAGACCTTACCAAATCAAGAAAAGCACAGATGCAAATTTTTAGCTTGTTTCCTATGAATATGTGATAGAATGAAACGCATGTCGAAATATTTGCTATTGTGTCGTAAATATTCATCAAACCTTTTTATGGCCTGCTGCAGACAGCATTACAGCATGTCAGGAAAAGATAAATAGTGGTTTCCTGCCGATTGGGCTTGTGGCTTAGTATCT